GAGCTAAGTCAACCGTAAAACCAAAAGGCTACAAATTATCACCTAACTTTTGACTGAGCAATTTGAAAGCAAGGAAATTGACTCTAAGCCATACAAACTTCATACAAATATAAGAACGCCTATTTATTTAACGTTTGATACCCTGGAAAGTTTATGCAATTCTATAAAAGACAATTATACCAGTTTCTACATACATGACTTGTGCATGGCTGTGGCTCAGCTTATGAATTATATTTTTAAGTATGAACATCCTCCTTGTAAGAGAAAGGAATTATGATGATCATGACTACGATCATGTCACATAGTATTGATACATCACAAAACAAAAATAAGAACAGATCAAATAATTTTTAAGTGAGAGCATATGCTGGAAGAAGCTGTGACAGCTATTAGCCCTTATAACTTAAAATAAGTGAGCTCTTCCTGCTAACTGATACCATATAGATAGCAAGCCTTGAAAACTGAAAACGCTTTCTGTATAAGATACCTCCAGAAAAGCCAAGGCAATGCCTTGTTTTGTAGAAGTAAAAACCACCTATCAGAATGCCTTTACAATCACACTAACTTAGCCTTACTTTATACATGTGTTAAGGTGTCCCATTTCAAGGTGAAAAGCCAATAGATGTATACAGAGTAAATATTAGAATATAAAAACTAGTATCCATTATGTCATTGTACTGTATATTCTGTTGGATTAAGAATTTATTACTTTTGTTGGAAAAGCTGCTAATTAAGAATAAGAAAGTATACTGGAAATTGGGAGTAATTTGCTAATATTTAAGCATTACAAAAAATATTATTAAATACGTCACGAAACATAAAATTATTTAACAAGTTAAAAAGCAGCATGGCAATACATCTGATAGTTTGGAGCAGCCTCCTGAATTTAATAATGAGTTCTGGAAGCTGATCAACTACCAAAACAAAACTGGGGAATGAAATCTCCATATTTCAATATAGGAAAGATAAATTTCCCTTCCAAAGGCAATGGATTAAAAGAAAATGAGGAAGAAATATAAAACTCCATAATAAAAGAGCAGGATGAGCAATGACTTCTAATTAGTTGAAACTTAATAGGAAAGATTTATAAGCAGCTAAAATGTTCATGGTAGCTGATGATAAATATGCTCCTGCAAGCATAGTAAAGACATTTTGCAGTAGTCTTATTCCAGTTTGAAAACACTGAGCATTTACATGCCAAATTCATTCAAATCTTCTAAAAATATTTTGTTATTGTATGACAGTGTTAACTACATCTATAGGTGATCACCCTTTTATTTACAGGATCAGAGAATCATAATCAAAGGTGGTTGGAAATTAGTTCTCAAGGTCGTCATGTCCAGCCTTCTACTCAAAGTAGGGCTTTTACCAACACTAGCAGGTCAGATCAGCTGGGCTGTGTCTCATCAAGTCTCTGAAGCCCTAATGGAGGTGGCTCCAGAAACCCCTGGGCAGCCTGTTTCCATAACCTCCCATCGAGGAAGCTTCTCCAGATGTTCAGCTAAGACCTTCCACACTTTGATTTGTAGCCATGACTGTCCTGCCTGCCACTGCAGAGAAGAGTTTGTCTCTCTTGTCTCTGTAATTACCCTTCAAGTACTTGTGGGCTGTTTCTAAATACCTCCTTGGCTGCCTCCAGTTGGAGGTCAACAAAGCCTCAGCTCACATGCCTCAGCCGTCTTTATAGCTTTGTCCTAGACCCCCATTCCCTTCATACCTCGCTTGAGTTTGGGGGTGAGTGGACACCAAACTGGGCATGGTTTTACAGGTGCAGCCTCACCAGTGCCAGTAGGCAAGATAGAGTAACTTCCTTCAATCAGCAGAATTTGTGGTACCTTTTTTTTTTTTCTGTTCAGTTTCTCTACTGGTTTAAAACACTTCTGTAGTTGTACTGGATTACTGCAAAGGAATGCAAGTGATCGAAGTACACTAGTGTTACTTTGGTTTGTGATTCAACTGCAAGCTGCCTTCTCTTCTCAGGAGCACCTCAGATATACATTTTCTAAAAATGTATAAAGGAAGTTGAAATAGGTGACAAGTTTACCGTATCACAAAGAGACCAAAGAACTTGAAAAAGATCTTGATTTCTCATAGAATCCCAGAAATTTCAAAAAGGTCTTAGCCTTAGTATTGAGCCTTGCCAAAGCGACCTTCAGACCTTCAGGTTTGAAATAGAGCTGAGCTGGGCACAAGGTAAGTGGTCTTTCTGGTGAGTTCACATTGTTTTGGAAGGGCACAAAAAAATGTGGTTACTTATATCAGCAAGGCCCTGAGATGTTCTGGTCAAAGAGGAAAAGGGAATGAGTGTGACAAACTGAGAGCCCAAAAGGCAAAGATCATTCCTGAAACAAGATATGGCTCGATGTAGACTTGGTCCTCAGGGCAGTTAACTATGTTTTGATCTCAGTAGAATTTGATTATAGATAGGAAAAAAATAAAATAAAATTCCCTATCAAGTCTGCAACCCGAGAACCAAAAAATCAGAAAGAAGCACTGGAGACTGTGAAAAACTTGACAAAATCTCTGGAGACAACATTGTGAATCAGACTGTGATCTGAGACCAAATTACTATAGACACCTTTCAGAATACTTTGGTTTCTCCCAACAAGGAAGGTGCCTTCTTCCTGGCAATGGCAGAATTTGTAGGGACTCCTGTCTGGAAAAGTGAAAACAGATGATATGCACTGAACAGAGGAATGTCAAGTGACTTTATTTAAAAAAAACTCCCAGCTATCAATACCCCACAGTGAGTCAAGAAGTTTCTCCAAGCTGAGTTCATGTCCTGGCTTTCAGAGGAACAGACATTCCCCTTAACCCAAAGGGTAAAATCCCAAGGGCAGGAATCAGTCTGCCTCTGGCTTGCATGGCTAGATCCTCTTTAACATTAAAACAATATATATAAACAGTGAATTATTATCAAAAAATTCCAAACATGATGAGAATAAATTATTTTAACTGATTATTTTTTTCAAATTTCGAATACAGTGTGACATCTTCTAGCATCAGTCAGGAACTTTTCATCTCAAAAAAAGCAATAGAATCTTCCTTCTTTTTTTTCAATTCTTTTCCCTTTTTCTTTCATTTAAACAAAGTTAGAAATTAATGAAGCTGTAGGAGCCCTCTGGTTTGGTTAGAGTGATCCTCTGTACAGCATAATGCTCCCCAATGCCAGCCCTTGTTTTTCTCACCTGTGATGGGAAACCCATAGTCTAATTATGCTTTTAAATTAACATAATGTTATATGTAATAGCTCTTAAGTGGGACATAATACTACCCTTATAATCCAAGAACTGACATGGGAGTTCCTATATGGAATCCTTTGTACAGAGGAAATCTACAAACATATAAATAATGCATCTATTTCATCTTTTTGTACTTTTCCTTCACTTCTGAACTGATGATAATTCATTAAATAGTATGCCAGAAAGAATGATGCCTAAAGAAACACTGAAGAAGAATCAGAACACCAGTGAAAAACAGGTAAGTAATAATATCTTCTTAGGAAGGACCAGAGACAGCTACAGTTATTCAGATAATGAAGACTGAGGAAGTACTTACAGTCTTGACAACTTGTAACTTAAGAATAGTGATGAGATATGCCTTAACGAGATTACATACGATCTCTCCTCACATTCAGGTAAAAAGTGAGGCTTTAATTCTTTGTCCTGCGCAATCTGTATTTTCTGTTACTTTACCAGGCAAATCCCCATTCACTTGTTAAGACATCAAAAGCTTCAGAAATCTATCGCACGTGAATTTTTGTGTATAGTCTTACAAAAAAAAAATCCATTCAAATCCTCTATCAGCTTTTAGAGAAGCCACCCGAGTAAGCCTGGCAGAGCCTGCATACTGAACATTGCTGAACTAGATTTGTCTTTCCCAAGGACAATTTTTATTTTGCAGACTGCTTCCTCCATATAGATTTATCTGTGTCTTTACACTTTCCTCAGGTAAAATTCTCACTGACTTCACTAGGAGTTTCTCAGAAGAAATGAATATTTTATAATGCTCTAAATGCAAAACCAGAGTGTATTTCTTAATCACAATTTCCGCAATCAAAAATTGACAAAGAGATTTGGTGAAAATTTGAGTACCACAAGTGTTAACAACATAAGATAGAAAGTCCTATTCATTTTCACAGGCAAAGCATTCATGCTTAACTTTTTTTTAAATTCTTTCTCAAATATCAATGAGGAATTGCATTTTGAACTGATGGAAACCCTGTTGAGGTCAACGGAAATGTCCAAATTTATTCCATGTGAGAAGGATATTGCTGTTTTGCTAAAGGTAGAATTCTCCACTGTACCCTTGAAAAGTACCAGTGCTCTTTCCAAGATAGAAGTCATTAACTTTTCATGCAGTAAATCAGATTGATGCACTTTGAAAATGAAACATTTCAAAGACCCTTTTCTGGATTCTCCCAGTGACAGTTTGTAATTTTAATAAGTCAATAAGTGTGCTCTATAAAGATCTACATAAAATGGACCTTTCATCTTTACACCTGTGGAAAGTCAGTGCTAACTAACAATTGGAATAATAATATTTTGACAGCCTCTTCCTCCAGCATAAATGGTACCAGTGGGTGGTTAAAAAAAGAACAAAAAAAAAAGAAGAAGAAAAGAAAAAAAGAAAAAAAGAAAAAAAAAAGAAACAAGGCCTGAGAAGTCTGATGCTAATAATTCAAATTATCTACAGACTCCATTGATTTCAAAGACCTTAGGCAATTTAGACTAGCTAGGAATCTAACACCTTTTGATTAACTTGCTGTCATGATGACCTGTTCTTAAAGGGAAGAACATTTATACACCGGAGCCACAGGAGCAGGCAACAAGTCAGAGGGTGTGGGACAACTCCTTTGAGTCCAAACATTACAGGAATGACCAACAAAAATGTTCATTAAGGAATAAATTGACCAAGCTGCTTTACAAACTGACTCAGTGTCTGCACCCCAAAAGATTTAGAAAGCAAAGGTTAGCTCTAGAGTTTAAAGAGCAGGTTACCTGATGTTTTTGCAGATCAGCAGTGCCGTGGGCAAGTGCAGCACCTGGAACATGCCCATCCCCAGCAGGTTTCCCCACCCTGGTGCCAGGGGAAATGTGGGAGGTAGGCAGCAGCTGAGCGCTGATGGGCCCATAGCCATTGGACGGCTGATGGACATTGTTTGAGGCAGTGGCTACTTCATCTTCATCACCGGAGTCTGTAATCAGGATAAACTCAGCCTTAAAAAGGTCATTCTCCTGCATTTCTCCTCTGCTTGAGTTACGCCCTGGGGACTGGAAAGCCGCTGGAGTGTTGTCTTTATGGATGGCAGACACACAGTCCTGTCTGGCCCTGCTCTTTAAGACCAGCTCATCAGAGACTGTGTTAGACTGCAAGAGACACAAGGAAAAAGATCTTGATTAGCTGCATTTATTTTCTGTTCCTCAGAATGCAAAGTAATTTTGGCTTGCAGCAGTGGCTGGCACTGCGGTACCAGAAGTGCAGAGGGCAAACGAAGAATTTGGTCACTGAGCACCCAGCAGACACCAGCTCCCGAGGAAGCCCCCAGCATCCACCCCTCCCCCCCCAGCCAATGTTGTGGCCGTTGCCTTCCCAGCGACTTGCAGAGCAAGAGGGGACTCTGAGCACAAGGGTGGCCCGAGCGTGGGGCTGGCGCGGGAACTGAAAAGGAGGCCGCAGCGAAGCCCAGTGAGCTGTCAGAGCAGAGTACACCAGACACCATGGGAAGGCAACCCCACTGCGGGATCCACGGGAGTGGACAATGCTCCTCAGAGGAGTCTGACAGACAAATCTGGGACAAAACCTATACATATTAATGAAGAAACAAAGGCCTTTAAGCCAGGGCATTCTCTGAATAGAGCAGACAAAGAATCTGAGGTCAGAGAGCTTTACTGTATGTTCAAGCTTCTCAGCACAGACCACAATTGTTCTTCATATTTTCTGCAACTTCCACTTCCAATACGTAACTTCCCAAACATGTTTTGGATGAGTGCAGGAGCAGTGCAAACTGGGCGTATGGCACACACATCACCATTCAATATTGAAACTGCCATGATAAAAAATTTTTCTCCTGAAGGAGGAATCAAGTAAAAGAAATATTGTGTACTGCACGAGAAAGCCCCAAGATGGATCTTATATTTGAATCTTGCTTGAGGAATACAGTAATTACAGATTTCCACTTCACTTGCAGCTCCACAAGCCCCTGGAGCTTGCATCTTTGAAGAAATATTGGACCACAAAAGAACATACAACCAGTATTACTTTGGATGTGTTATTTTCACTATCTGACGGTGTTGTTTGTTTGTTTGTTTTTTTAAATATTGTTCAGGTTCTAGACATTTTAGAAAAGGGAGTGATCAGTGCAATGAAGACCTCAGTACTGCCTCACCTGCCAGGAAAGTTTTCTCTGCCAACAGAGAAATGCAAGGAGACAGATGTCAGGAAGACCTGATTGTGCTTTAGCCAGGGCAAAACCAATACTGAGTGGCTGGAAATGTAACTAACGACTTAAATATTCTGAGGACAATATTCTAGTACATGTATATTCAAACACATCCATTCTCTGCCCAGACCTAACCCTTTTTTAGACAGATAGGACAGTGAACATGCTGGAGTATATTCAGGTCAGAGGGCTGTGAACTCCTGTAAAAAGTTTGTTATGTTGAAGAGCACCCAGAACTGGTGCCCCAGCAATGTCCCAGGGAAGGAGCTGTTACACAAGAGCAGAATCACCATAAACATTAATATTAACCTGAGAGCTGCAGTTACCTTTCAAGCAGCATGGAATAAAATAAGGGGCTGTTATTTGTTGTGGGGCAGGAAAGGAATAACAAACACTGTGGACTGGCTACAGGAAGGAGAACCAGGAATTTTGTGCTGCTGGCTTCACCATCACAGGAAATCATGGGGACAAGCTTTCAAAAACAGGCTGTTGAGTAGGTATCAGCCTTCTCTTGTGCAATGATTCTGCACTTCTGAAAGGCTCGGTGATTAAAGCCAAGCACAAGCCAAGAAACATTTCC